CGTCTCCTGTCGTTCCCATCACCTGTGATTTATCAGGCTCCGCTGTAGGTTCTCCAGATGCAGCAGTGACCAAGAAATTCCTTCCCTCCTGAAGTGTACACTAGTGGAACCAACTTTATTTTCTAACTCTGTGTGTGAGTGTGTGTATGTGACAGGTGTGTGAGTGTCTGAGTGTGAGTGTGTATGGGAGTGTGTGCGTGTGAACAAAATCTTGCTTTGTCTCTAATTGTTCCTTTTTCATAGCAACTGTTCTTGGCCTTATGGATTTAATATCTTGACTTCCTGCATATTTTAGATCTTTGTAAAGTTCAATTCCCAGAGTTATCTTTGTTTAATTTTTATTCAGTTTTTCCCTTATCTTGTTCTTTATTTTTTTTAAGGTGCAATTTTCCTCAAACATCCAGTGACCTTGTCATCCAGCCGTACACTCATGGGTATAGAAAGCTCGCCAGGAGCTGCGTGTACACAAGTGGGGCCTGTGAAGTAGCAGCCGGACTGGGGTGAATGTGGAAAACCAGTCATGGGGCTAGGGACCCCTAGTGCCCAAACCAGGGAAGATGTACTGGGGCCAGCTGCCAGGGGGCCTCCTTGGTTCTCCCGGACAGTGTTTCTTTAAGGAGAGGAGCTCTGGTGACTGACGTGTGTTTCCTGCAGGAGTAGGAACTGTTTCCTAGACAGACCTCTCCATGCTCCTGCTGCTCAGCCGGTCGATTTGGAGACCCCACTAGGCAAATCACCCCACCTCTCTGCACCCCCTTCTTTCCTTTTCATTCACCAATTCCCTTCTGGGCCTCAGCTTTTATAAACCTGTCACGCTCATGCCTTGACCAGCGGCCTGCACCCATCCCCTGGGCCTTCGAGTTTTTCTTCGCTGGGATTGAAAAGGAGGCTTCAGGAGGCAGGATAGACTAATTTCCAGTGCAGCCTTCCATTTTGACCTGGCTTCTTTTCCACGAATACTTAATATTTCCTTTTTCTTGCAGATCAATGTTAAATAAAGGGTAGAGCAAAAGCATAGATTTGACCTTATAGATGGGACGCCTTGACCTTGGGGGCCTGTGGGAACCCTGTTCTGCAGGAGTGTGGACCTCACCATTGGGGGCAGACCTGGGCCTGCACAGTTGTCTTCCATCAACTTTAAATTGAGGGTGTTGCCCTGGCTGGTGTGGCTCGGCTGGTCGAGCATCATCCATGCACCAAAAGGTTGCGGGTTTGATTCGTGGTCAGGGTGTGTGTGGGAGGCAACTGGTTGGTTTCTCACTCACAGCGATCTTCCTCCCTCTTCCTTCCTCTCTCTCTAAAATCAATTAACACATTAAAAAAATAAAAATAAATAAAGTGAGGGTGTGATGGGTTTTCCCTGAGCCTGGTTTGATTCCATGAAATATTTTTTGTCTTTTATCTCTTGGGTGACGGGTCTATTACGTGCTATGTGAAGTAGTAATTTCTTGTTTATTTTTTCTTTTTTGAAATGTGTTTGACTTTGGATGTTCTAGGTTTAGTGTGGTCAAGCAATCTGGGTTAGCTTCCCTGTGCTGTTAGTGATTTTACAAGGTTTTTTTGTCATCAGGCTTAGGAAAGCCCTGTTT